TATGATACACATTTTTGGCTTCTAATGCTAGAAATCTGCAACTGGCTTTGGGCTGTGCACGGCTCTCTCTTCCGGAAGATGATAGAATAAAAAGAAATATAAATGTTTTAACACACTATGAGTCGGTTTTCTCTGTTCTATCATGGGGACAAAAGAATCGGGGTTAATATTTGGTGTTTCCGCCCGGTTCTTCGTGTAACAGAGAGAACAAATGTGGCTGAAGGTTGGATCTGATATGAGGCGAACAGAAGACCGGTCTAAAGAGATTTAAAGGTAAGCACAAACCTGTTCAAAAAGCTAATTTGTGCAGATTGGCTGAATTTTAAATTATCTGCTCGCTGAGTGGATGATCTTAACTATCAAATTGGCTCAGTAGTGGTAAAACTAAATTCTTGATAATAAAGTGAAGCTTTGAAGTAAGGATAATGAAATTGTGAGAAAAAGACAGTACTGAGATAAAAGTAACATGAGATGTTATGTTAAGAGAGAAAAGAGACCAATGTGTATTTAGGAAACACAGGTTTTCAGTGGTTGTTGATCAATGGTCATGAGAATTTGCATAATTAAGATTAAGGAACTGACCTGCAGCCCATTGTTCCTTCAGTGGGCCGGTTTCAGGCATTATGCAAATGTACTGTTTATAAGATTGGGGAAACCTGCAGTCAGCTGAGACTGAAGAAGTCACCTGGATGATGATGAAACGTTTCTCCCACAAAACACTACGTCCAGGATCAACTTTTGGAGATAAGTGCTTAAAGTTTTAAAAACATGTTGCGTGTTATCTTGTCCCTGTCACGGTCTGTGGGGCAGAACGAGTGGAGGCGGACCCAGAAGCAGACAGAGGCGAGGTGACGGAACTTGAGTTGCAAACCAAAAGTGAGCCTTTATTGTGGCTGAAACATGAATATAACTCAAACGAAGGCAAACATGGGAGAGAGCTAACTGAAAACCTACACTGGGAAAAACTGAGAAAAGTGAGCCAACAGAGACGATATAGAGGAACTATGAGAACTATAAATGCATGAAAGGAGGAAACACAGACGACATGACCCTGAACACAGGAAGACCGAGGACTTAAATACACACATGGGGTGTTGAGGGGAACTGGCGACACATGAGGACACAGCTGAGTTGAATGAACATAATGAAACACAGGGGCGAGTAACACTGGACACACTAACATGAGACAGGGACCATCAAAGTAAAACAGGAAGCATAACCACCACAGACCAGACACTGAACTAAACCTAAGAACAAACTCTTAACCAGGAAAACACAGGTTTTTTGCTTCAGCACCCCCAAAATGAATCAAAGCACCCTGGTGAAGACAAGAAAATATGTTTGAAATATGCTGTCTCTTTATAGTCCCTGTCATGACTCTCTCAGCAGCATTTTTGATCCATTAATATTAAACAATTATTGATGCAGCGGATTGAGATGAAACTTGGCACAGAGGTACAGTAGGTGTCCAGGAGGAGGATTGTGTTGAAAGTTGGACATCAACTATCAAGAATGATTTTTAATGAATTTTGGAATATGCAACCAGACTTTCCCGATGGCTGTATTGGGCTGTCCCAAAGAGCAGAGTGAAGCTGACCCCCCACCCACTTGAAACGTAAAGGCAAATAGGTGGAGCGGTTAGTGCTACGTTTGTGCAGATTTGTGCAGGTAAAATGAGCGTTTGTGCTGCTACGGTTTTGAGATATTAAACATTATTTTATAGATCATTCAAAGGTCACCATCCCCCCAGACTGCTCCAAAACGGGCCAAAATGGTCTACTTTTTTAGTGCTACGTTTGTGCTGATTTGTGCAGGTAAAATGAGCGTTTGTGCTGCTATGATATGAGATATTCTGTTATGGTGTTACTGCTGAAAAATGTCTTTTTAAAATGACTTTGCGCTTTGTGTGTTCACTTGTTCAATAAAGTTTTGTTAAAAAAAACTTGTGTTATTCTATTTAATCAGCTAAATTTGTAATGAGTGTATTTTTTTAACTTCAATTTCTTTACTTCAATCACTTTTCGTTCATAAACCTACGATGCAAATCTTGAGGATTTTTTTTAGAGTGGATTAAAAAAACTATTGAAAACTACATTTGAACATTTTACACTCCCATGAACACTTTTTGAGAAACGAACAAGCTAGCAGTCTTTTGCATCAAATGCACATTTCTGGCAGAAAAAACTATTATTTGGCATTACTGTGTCTGAAGGATTCCTAGAACAGCGTGTTAAATCTGATTTCTGAACAAGGTAAGCTTACATTTAAAATACTGCAGTTTTAGTTACTGAGTTAATACATGATATAGCTAACTGTCTGGATCAAAAGGATTTTTTTTCAATGTTAAACATTTTCAAAAATGTCCAAGAAAAAAGTTTCTAAAGCACTTTAAAAACATGTAGCACACTGGACTAAAGTGCTGTACAATACATGTTAATGGGTTAAATACTCAGACTCAGTTTAATAAACTCACAAATTCAATAGCTCCATCTTAAAAACAATAATTCCACAAAATATGAAAGTGTAGATTGGTGCAGATGAAACTTTTGGGGCCAAAAGAGTGAAAGTGGGATTATTAAAAAATGGAAACCTCCATCAGCCTATTAGATTAGGGGAATCGACAATCTCTGTGCTCAATACCTGTGCATTTGATGCATTTTTTCAGTGCTTATGTTGTGCCTTCTGTGACAGCTCCACATTTCAAAATGCTGTTCTGAAAGACAGTGAAAACCCAGTCCTGCAGCTGGTGAAAGCCATTGCCACAGATGGTGTGACCCAACAAACCTACAGAAGGAGAGCAGAGCTGCTTAGTGTAATGTTTGAAGCTGTCTCCTTGAGGTCTGGTGCGATCCAAATCGATGCTCAGTGCAATATCTCCGCTGTAATTGCTAAGACAATGAGGAACATCTCAAGTGTTTATTTTACCAAACACTGCTCTTCAAAGCACTGCTACCTCAGCAAAGGGATGACAAGGGAAGTGCCATTTATTTCTCCTGCCATCTCTGTCCTCAAAGAGTCTGGTATGGCTCATCTTGGCACGGCTGTGGAAGCAGGACTTGGCCTACCTGAGTCTACCTGCCTCAGGCCACTCTCCAATCCATCTCTGTGTCCATCAGAATTCAAAACAGAAGACAGCACCACAGGAAATGAGCTCTGTGCAGGGACAGTTACTCACAGCTACAACATTGGAGATATCGTGTGGATTGATACTGACCTTGCAAACCAAACAGAATTTCCACTGAATGAATTTCCCTCCAACCTGGTTCTCCAAGGAAAGTCGTTCACTTTGAGGGCATTAATTGCTTTCCATGGAAAGATGACCACTGATGGTTTGGGACATTACACTGCATACTGCAGGAGAGCTCCATGTGTGTGGGAGTGCTATGATGACCTGGGAAATGGAGTGACAGGAGCATCTGAAAAGAAAAAAATACAACCCCATGCTGTGTTATACACAGTATAATGAGTGCTGCCTGCATTTTTCTGTTTTATTTGGTTCATTACAGTTACATGTGTTCAAATGGCTAGTGTGTGTTATCAGTAAGTTCAGTTTTGCACATAAAGTTAAAGTTCTAAATTAAAAATCTTTTAACACTCTTTGTCAGTCTGATGCATATTTGCTTTTACACACCCAGTCACCTTCACCCGTAGCCTTGAAAGTAACCGTTTTATTTTTCTGTCAATAACTTTTCTGTATTTGTTTTGTGTTGACCTGGTGGCTTAAGTCAGGGGTCAGCATCCTTTTCAGTTCAAAGGGCCCCTTTCCCCCCTGCTGCTACAAAACCTGTCTGGAGCCTAAAAACAAGAAAGAGCCTATAAATATCTAGAAAATGAGTTGTTGTATCGTGTAAGCTATGGAAATGTAAAAAAAAAATGTTTATTATTTAGATTTGATAAGAAAATGAATCATCAAAGTTTTATAACGGAAAAAAGTATTTGTTAAAATGAAGCCAGCTACGTGAGTCCTTTCCATAATAATTGAAAATTAGGAAAGATGGGCAACCAACTTGAAAATTACAGTAAACAGATTTGAAGCTAAGAAACATTAAATCACTTTTAAAACCCTTGTACATTCAGTGAATAGTCAATGCAGATATTTCATAAAAAAAACAAACTGTTAACAGAACCCTTTCTTGTTGTCTTTATAATAAAAAAAATGACTTACTTGGTCTTATAAGAGCCACAGTGGACGGGCCGGAGAGCTACATGTTGCTTTAGAGCCGCAGGTTGAAGATCCCTCGCCTAGGTGCTGTGGAATATTCAGTTTTCTACACGTAGGTAACAACCTATCAAAGCAAACACTTCATTTTTTCTGAGACAGCTACATTAATAATAATGAACATATATAACTCAAAACAAAATCATAGAGACAAACTGGGTATGTAAAAAATAATAATCATTTAGGTATACATGAATCACTTCACATGAAAGTCACAGTTTTGCCACAGAAAAAATAAAAACTTTAGCCTACCTTGTGCACATTTCTGCACTGGTAACAAAAGAAATATCGACCTTTCTGCTGACTAAATTGTGTTACTAAAGTGTAAACTAATAAAACTTAATATGCAGCAAGCCTAAGAAAAGTGGACAGTCTTCTATAAACGGGCAAAACTCCATAGCTGCTGAAACTCACTGACAGGGACACTGGTGTTATACAGCATAGGCCGTAAGAATTAAAATCATTATATCTTAGAAACCATAGCAGCACAAACGCTAATTTTACCTACACAAATCTGCACAAACGTAGCACTAACCGCTCCGCCTATTTGCCTTTACGTTTCAAGTGGGTGGGGTCAGCTTCACTCTGCTGTCCCAAAGCGTTGTATGCGAGGGCGTGCATGTGTGAGTGCGCGCGCGCGCGGGTCTATGCTTTTGATCGGGAAATAAGGAGAAAAGGCGCTGCCGTAAAGGGCGGTGTAGAAGTGCAAAAAAATTAATGCGGTGGAAAAGAGGCGGCTGGCTTGACTGCGGTCCTGCTTGAGAGGAGGCGTTTCCACAGGCATGCTTCCGGGAGCAAAGAAGTGAGTTTACAGGAGATAAACAGTCCTATCGTGTTACTATCGATCCGATACCAATACGAGCGTTGGCACTGGTACGATCGACGTTTGGATGACTCCGCCCACCACGAATACAAGGCTGCACTACTGCTGCATTCTGCACTCATCATCGCTCCAACATCGTCACACGCAGGTAGACCTCCACCACTGTATCAAACTTTCTGTCTGCAAAATTAAATTCACTCAAATTTCAGCCTGTGGTGTTTTTTTCACCTTTCCTTAATCTGAAGACATCGGTGCTACAGTTTTTGTTGGGTTTCTTTGTTTTGGTTTTTGAGTTTGTGAGCTGTGAATCTCTGCAGTCATACTCGACTCTATGTGGACGACTTCCGCGATCGGTCAAAGAAAACACCTGCACACCTGTTACGGATCTAGATGCACCTGAAGGATGAATATGAAGCTTTTCACACAACAATGAGAGTGACGCGAACCATGGGGCTCTTATTACTGTAGCAAAAATCTTGCGCATTTGTAGTAATGTTTATAAATGTGTAGAGAAACACAAGTAATAAGCACTAACTGATTGTCCTTGGACTGACCCTGCACACATAGGATTTCCAACTGTTAAATTATTAAATAAGGGACACACTGGCATACCAGAAGCACAATGCACAACCAGCTGAGCATAGTGTAAATATGCACTGTGACATTGCATGTAACGGTCAATATATGTGACAATTGGTGGAATAAGGACGAACCAGTTTTGCTCATTTTACAGGATGTCCCGGTTAAAACGGGACAGTTGGAAACCCTAGTGCAGTGGCGTGTCTAGAAAATTTTTGTTGGGGGGGCCAGGTAGGGGCACAGATTTGGAGAAGGGTGGCAGATGTAATTGACAGATAATGTTTAAAAAAAAATTCTACCAACCCTTAACCATAATTCAATAATCCTATAAACCTAATAACCAAATGCGCTTTTAACTCTTATTAGAATGAGATTTTAACCACTACGGTGCAAAGTTTTTAGATACTGCGTTGATAAAGTACAAGAGATACAATCAGTGCTTTGTCAGTGTTTTCTCAGCATTCAAGGACAGCGATATTTGCATAGTATTTTTACTGACATATAGTGCACATATGTTTTGGGCAAAAACATTTTTTAATATTAAAATACGAACATTTTTAACAAACAATTGACAAATTAGCCAATGCCAATGCAAAACTTTATCTGCCTGTTAAAAAAAGAAGATAATCTTCTCACAAACTGGTGTTTGATTTTGAAACAGGAAAAAAGTGGGGAAACAACTGAAAAGACTAACATTTGAATAAAACCTGAAAGCAAGTAAATACTTTCTATGCTGCATGGTGACACTGCCAGTATTAACCTGCAGGGCTGGACTGGGACAGAAAATCGGGCATTTTGACTAGAGACCGACCCACCAGGTATTAAAGCCATAAAGCCTTTGAATGAAAACAAATGCTGTTGTGACAGTGATGTACAATCTTGTTGGTATATGTATGATTTCTATACATTTTACGTCAGATAAAAACTTTGGTTGTAAGATTTAGATAATTATTTAATAAAAGCGAGATATTTTAAATGAGAATAAGAAAGAAAAGTATTTCTTTGTGCCCCCTTTCCCTGTTAATGCCCTACCTGGCCCCCTGGCAAAAATTTCCTAGATCCACCCCTGCACAGTTAACAGCTGTCAGCTGCTTAGAAAAGGATCCTGGTGTTATTTGTCTCTCAGAAACAGTTCAAAACTTCCCTTCAACTCATTCATGTCACCTAAAAGGTAAACCTGTTTCTCCATCACCTGTTCAGCTCTGATGATTCAGTAAGGACCTCTCCTGGTTTCATCTTCATGTTTCCCTCTCACCACATATACAAACCGACATCATGACCAGCAGCTTTACAGCTGTGGCTCCAGCAAACATCAGCTGATAGTACAAAGTAATATTAAATAAATTCTAACAACAGCTGATCAAGCTTAAACGTGCTGCTGTTGTTTACCGCGACAACTGCTGGTTTCCTCTTTCTTTAGCAAAGTGGGCGATAAATAAATGAGAGAGAAAAGCTGATCAGCTGATCATTGATCAGTTTCATGATTGAAGTAGCAACAGGAGAGGCAGGGGGAGAGAATGAGAGAAGAAGAGGCAGCTGTGCAGCGTAACGACAGAATAACTCCAACTTTGTGTCTTTTTCCATTCTAGCTAAAGTTCGGGACAAACTGCGTCTCTTCTCAGCTCAATACGAAACGTGTAATATTTTCTCTGAATGAGGGACCATTCCATTTTTTTAAGGAGCCGTTGGCAACTCTACTAACTAACCTTATGAATAAAATAAAGTTCACTATCAGTAACATCATAGAACCCACCCACCTAAAAACGCCATCAAGCTGGCTAGAACCCAGTACGAGTTATTGCAACTGACGGTAAAAAGTCAGCACAACGAAAATAAACTCCACCTAAACTTGGATTATATCTGACCCAGATAGACTGCAGGTCATAACTTCTTACCTGAAGTTCAGTTCACCTGACACTCGGACTGGTGGCCGACTCGGGGCTCTCCTCCTGCCTCCCCTTCCCTCATCCACCTGTTGCCTCTGTGGAAGCTCCGCCATAGCCACCACCAAACAACTGAGTTATTTTTACACATCAACCTGCATCTGGCCAATCCACCACCTCTCAGTGTTCATGCCATTACAAAAAAAATAAAAAATAAGTCACCGGGCATATGCCCGGTATGCCCGATGGCCAGTCCAGCTATGTTAACCTGCAACCAAATCTGCAGCTCCAAACAGCAATGTTACGACTTAGATTATATCTTATAACTCATAACTCTTATGTTAGCTGCCCTCAGTAGCATACTGTCTGAAATATTCCACAGCTGCAATAATTCTTTAAGTGTTATTTTTTCCTTGGGATTCTAATTTCACCGAAGTTTACTAAACTCAACAAACTTAATATTACTTACCGGGACATTTATTCTGTCCTCATTTTCTTTCACCGAAAAATTGTTTCCTGCAGTGCCGTCTTTCGTGCTTCGCTCTCCTACCTTTGCTAACGTGATGCACATAGCGCAGAAGCCGATGCTGCATTCACTTACACTCGGATATCTGAGCTTCACCGTGAAAACATAATCGTACATTTGATATTTGATTGAATTTTATTGTTTTACCTTTGGGGTGGCACCTGGGGTGGCCAGTCTGGTTGGGGGTCCACCCCGCTGGACACGCCATTGCCCTAGTGTCATATCAAACATTGTTTCTTTTGAAATAACTTGAAAATATTTATTAATCAAGTGAAAATCTTCAGATTTCTGGTCAGCTTCCTCAAGGGGGGGGGGGGTCACAGTACATACAGTACCTTTCCATCACATCAGGAGGCTCACACTTATGAAGGGCCAGGAGTGATGTAATAAATTAAATAAAATACGTCATTAAATAGTTAAATGTGTCAATAATTAATCATTATAAAATTAAATGTATATAATTAAATTCATTAAATAACATTGGAAATAAATAATTTAAATGTTTTAAATGAAATGAATGAGCATTTAATTCATTAAATAAATTTAAATAATGAATTAATTCCAATTTTAATATGTTAATGAAACATAAAGGCGTATTTAATTAATTTTGTCACTCCTTGCAATCCATACACACTGGGGTAACCACATGTATGAGGTCAAACACACAGATTCATGGTCTCATGCTCTCTGGTCTCCATTTAAATATAAATATGAATGTAAAGTCTGAGTTAGGACTGAGTTTCTGCTCCACTGATCAGTTTCTGGAAGAAATCAAGGATTAGCTGTTTAAATTCAGAGTGTCATGTTTGATTTGTTTCATACTTTCTTTGCCTGCGAGTCTGAAAATGTGACAGAGCAGCTGGAAACAAAGACGAAGAAACTTTCAAGATTATATGGTGATGAAGGATTTATGATATCATCTGTATTCAGAGATGAGAGTGCAGTGATTCTAACTGCTTTTTCTTTTATTTAAGGGTCCACATGAAGGCTGTACTTGCTTCAGTTAAAAATGATCTGATGAACAATGACACTGCTGCAGCAGTAGAAAAGATTCAAAGATATTTAAAAGAAGCAGATAAGATTCCACTAAAAATCGCCATCACAGGAGAATCTAAATCTGGTAATTCCGCCTTTGTTAGTGCCTTAAGAGGCATAAAGAGCATTGGTGATGAAGATGAGGGCGCTGCACCCACTGGTGTTGTGGAAACCACCTCAGAGGTCACAGAGTACCTCCATCCAAACTATCCCAATGTTACTTTATGGGATCTTCCTGGAATCGGCACCACCAAGTTTCTTGCAAAGGAGATTCAGAAGATGAAGAAAAAGTTCTACTTTGTTCGTACAAAGATCGACAACAACATACGTGATGAGAAAAGAAAGAGAGACTTCAATGAAGAGGGGACTCTTACAAAGATCAGAGAAGACTGTGTTCAAGGTGAGTTTCTTATCTAATCATTTTTACCAAAGTAATATCACTTTGTGAATTTACTATTTAAAAATATTCAGAACTTAGTTTGATTTTTTTCCCCCTCATGTTAGCATGTATTTTCTGTAAAACAGGACTCCGATGTAGACATCAAGTCTTCACATGTTTTCCTGGTGTGCAGCTTTGAGCCTCACTATTATGAATTCTCTAAATTAGTGGGTCAGCGACCCTCTTAGGGACATTTCCAATAAGGCATAACAATCTGGGACTCTCCATCAATTTGCCCTGAAAAAGCTTCTCAGATGAAACATCTTCAAGAAACCTAAAGAAGTCCATACCCTTTTCTTACCAAGCTCCTTAGAGTACCATGACCTGGATGACTGAGAACCTTCACAGAACTCTGTCTTACCTTGTATTTGTTTAAATAAATTTTTATTTTCATTCTCTCTTCTTTATACCTCAGTGCAAACAAGTGCGAACATCATTCTTTGTTTATTAAGTTAGTAAAGTTAAACTCTGAGCCTTTTTTGTTTTTTATCTTTTATAACACAGGTCTTCAGAAAGAAGGTTTTGAGTCTCCACAGGTCTTCCTGGTGTCCAGCTTTGAGCCTCACATTTATGAATTCTCTGAATTACAACAGACCTTAGAGAGAGAACTTCCTGCACACCAGAGTGATGCTCTGCTGCGTGCCATGTCCAACATCAACCAGGAGATCATCAAGTCTTGATAAGCAGTCTCTGAAGAAACTTGCTGCCAGCTCAGGTGTGTCATATGATGATTTGTGTGCTGTCATTAAGTCAGAACTGGCTAAAATACCTGCAGAGTTCTTCATGAAAATGTTTATCTCAGTTCAAGGTAAAGCTGCATTAATGGAAGCAGGGAAAGTATCCAGAAATTCTTTCCTATTTGTAACTGCAGCATCAATGAGCCTCTCTTTTACAACAACCTACTTCACTCTGAGTTATTTCCTCATCCAGCTTGCTGATGATGCTCAGAGGGTGTTTAACAGAGCTCTGGGTGTGAACATATCAGTGTGATTACTATAAAGTAAAGTAGCTACTAGTTACATTTTAAGCTGCAGTGTGCAAACAAGCTTTGATATTTTTTTTAAACAAATACAGAATCATTCACTGATTTCAATTTGACTGACTTCAGTGAACAGTAAGCATCTTTGTACAGCTGATCTGTGTACCAGATGCCTCAGCAAGACTCATTTCCTCTCATCAGAGCAGAAACAACATAGTAACTGTTTTCCCCTCATCACATTAATACAGAAACAAGTGTGATCTTATTTTTCATAAACTGTGTACTGTGGAGAAGAGCTACTGGATTGATGCTGTGATGCTTTTTAATTATTTGGTTAATTTTTAATGTCAACATTTTGTGCAAATCAGATCAAATAATGAAATTGGTTTTGCTATATTATATCACCATGCCGTAGCTTCCACCATAATAAATACTGAGTTATGCAGAATGTATGATGTCATGTGATAAGCAGAGGTGTGTGGAACAGAAACTGCTCTGTGGTGTTTGTGTTGACTGTATATTGTGTTCACTACCCTCCAGTGGTCGCAGTGAGGAGCTACAACAATAATAATACAGTTATGAACTCTGTTTATCACCATCATTCTCTTATTATTAATAAAGTGCAGCATTAGCATTATTTATGACCCTTAAAAAACAGATTCCAATGTACTAAACAACACATTATAACACCGGGTGAGTTATTCTAGTCTCTGTAAATGTGTAGTAGACAAAATATTAGAAACACTGGTGAGCACCTAAACACTGAGCTTCATCATGATTGGGTTAAAAGTAAAACACAAGTCCCCACACCAATTTCTCAATTTGTCAGAATGCATGTGGATAATACAAATTTATAACAACTGAAAACTAAACTGAATGACTTTAAGAGCTTGTTCAGAAAATGATTTAAGTCATTTTTCACTGTTAAAAATTTGTCACCCTGCAGAGCCAGCACCCATATACAGGAACCAATGTGGGTGAGAGGACCAGCTCAAACTGCTGCAAGGCCATCCAGGGGCCCGTTCTTCGTACCTCGCTTTCGCGTGATCTTGGATCGTTCGGTTCCCCGAAGCTCATCCGGGACTTGCTGCCATAGCAACAGAGCCGTAAGCGTAAACCTGCTCGGGAGCAGGTTTACTTTATGTAAACAGGATTAGATCGCGGCCACGCAGGTATGTCCGCTTCATTTATACGAAAGCAACAGCGATATTCCACCACTGTTTCACCATAAATAAATAACATCAATGTAACTAAAGATAATGCAGCACCTGATCCATTTATTGATATCACACAGATACATACAAGTCATTTCCTAAAAAAGGGAAATGTACTATTAACATTCTATTACATGTATGTGATTATTACAGATGTAATTCATATTTCAGAGTAGCAATTGCAAATTACTTTGTGTAATCAAGATGAGAGACCACGGCTATAAAAGCGAAGGTGGATTTGGGAAGTCTGTCGCAGCCGTGTCCTGTCCGTATACGCGAGCCACCCATTGCGGAAGGTGCAAGATTGATAAGGAGAGTCCTCAGAATTCAGCGTAAATTGCGGGATAGACAGGATCCTTTAGCTCAGCGCGACAGTGTGCTCATAGAGAGATATCGATTTTCCCGTGAGGGTATTATTTACTTAAACAACTTGTTGACGAGGGGGTGCAGGACCACCACCTGTCTTTTTTTTGCTCTGCCCTTTTCTTGGTTGCTGTTATAAACATACAAACAGATTATTTCAGGGTCTCTTTTCAAGAGACTAAAAGCAATATAAGAGATAAATATTACCATTCTGTAGAATATTCTTATATTTCACTTTTACTTGTTCCCATTTTCTAGTGGGTCCTGTTGTGGCTCTAATGTGTACGGGGATATAATATAACATAATATAATATAATGTAATATAATATTGGATAATATAGTGTAATATAATAAATCTACCCTACCGCCTACTGGTGTTGGCCAGAGGGGCCAATGGCGCGATATGGCAGCCTGGCTTCTGTCAGTCTGCCCCAGGGCAGCTGTGGCTACAACTGTAGCTGCCTCCACCAGTGTGTGAATGTGAGAGTGACTGAATAGTGGCATTGTAAAGCGCTTTGGGTGCCTTGAAAAGCGCTATATAAATCCAATCCATTATTATTGTTATTATTAAATTACTTACGAGTTTAATTTGTCAGCAACTTTCTGCCAGCCCTCTCTCCTTGCTTTTGCAGCCTTTGCAGTGTTCCCTTGCGTTCTGATTAAACTCTGAAACTCCTGAAATCCCTCACTCAAGAGTTCTTGCTCTGCTGCCGAAAAATACCTCTCCTTCGACATTTTCGCCGACCAATCAGAGGGTTGCCAATCAATGTTTCTACTATCGATGCGTAGCCCCTTTTACGACACCCAGTGATCTCACATTACTTCATCCAGCTGTACTAATCGTCAACAGCAGGTGTGTTCGGAGAACCGGATTAGCGAGCTCACGGTTAGCGCGATGATTCGGTCTTGGATGTGTCATTTGATCTTGGATGTAGTAAGCGACATACGAAGAACGGGCCCCTGGTGTCTTTCCTGCCTCTGATATGGAAATGGTGGTCCTGAGAGCAGGTGCAGTTTATGTCTGCCACACCTGTTCCCTTCTAGATAATTTACCAGTTTAGCAGTTAATTACAGGGTTCATTTTAGTGGCCTGGACAGTCGGCCCCAAGAGACTTATATTTTAAAATGCTGGAGTAACATCTAAGAGCTATTTACACTACAACTAATACTATTAAGTTAAAGACTGAATGTTCACAATTTAGACCTTAATAGCAGGATATTTTATTAAAGCAGTTTAGCAAACCAGAATAAAAAATAATAATAAAGTAAAATGATTATAATAACTTGAATTATACTTAACTAACCTACTCTGAGCTAATGCTGATTTTATTCACATCGTTGGAGAGAAAAGGCACACTAGATCTGAAACTGTCAACAGTGAAACTCTTAGAGCCATTCTTCAGTGTTTTTTTATTTAACCAGGAAGATCCCATTGAGATTGGAAACCTCTTTTTCAAGGGATATCTGGTAAAGATAGGCAGCAGCACGGTTACAAAAATTATACAATTAAACACAGGCAGCAACAGAACACATGCAAAATAAAAAAATTAAAAATAAAAATAAAATTCAATTAAAATGACAAACTATGACAAATCTATTTGAAACTGTCACGGTTTGTGAGGCAAGCCATGTGGGAATTATTAATGGACCCAAGATGCAGGTAATGCTGATGTGAGTGAGCTTTATTCAGCAGGATGACATACAACAGAAGGCGAGGGTGGCGAGAACAGAACTGACAAAACCTAAACAGGGAAATCTAAGCATAAAACATATCTGAAACCTTAAGATACGAACGGAGATGCAGGGGAACCACACAGACGAACCAACAACGAACAGTAGAAAATACAGGGCTTAAATACTCACAGGGCAATCAGGGACTGGGAGACAGGAGGGAGACACAGCTGGGGGAAATCAGAGCTGACGATACTGAGGGAAGTAAAACAGAATACAATAACCTGAGACACTGACCTTCAAAATAAAACAGGGACTGACACATGCAAAGACACAGACTGAGAAACTCAGACTTTACACAGAGGAACACATATGCAGGAATGACTAAACACTAAACTGAGGAAGAACAGAACCAAAGAGCTTGAAAACCACAACCAACATCACAATAATAGAAAACACAAAACACTGGGTCAAAAGACCCACGACCATGACAGAAACAGTTGCATGTTATGGACTTGGCCTAGTTTTGAATTAAAATCACTTAATGAAATGAATTCAGTCATTTTCCAATTGTTCTGCAGGTCTCTCCAAGCCAAGGGTGCTAAACCTGTAATGCTGCACATGTTTCATGCTGAACATGCTCATACCTTTTTTTACCATCACATGTAAAAATGTTGTAGCAACAACTTCTTTGTATTAAAAGAAAAACAGAACTTATTTTGAAAATAAAATCTCAGTTTTAACTTCAGTTTCTTCATGAGTTTCTCTACATGTGGTTTGAAGGTGAGCGAGTCATCAATCAAGATACTCAGATATTTATATGTGTAAACCAATGATTCTACAATTATTACCCTCAAGAGGGGTTACTGAAGGAATGTGTGTTCATCTCGCAGGAGACAACAGAGAAGAAACCTGAAACTCTTCTTCACCTCGCTTTCATACCTGTTCAATCGTTCTTCTTCTTGGTAAATGTCCTGTATTTGTATAGCGCTTTACTAAGGACCCCAAAGCACTTTACACATCCAGTCATCCACACATTCACACACACATTCACACACTGGTGATGAAGCTACATTGTAGCCACAGCTGCCCTGGGGCGCACTGACAGAGGCGAGGCTGCCGGACACTGGCGCCGCCGGGCCCTCTGACCACCACCAGTAGGCAACGGGTGAAGTGTCTCGCCCAAGGACACAACGACCGAGACTGTCCGAGCCGGCAACCTTCTGAACTCTTGAGCCACAATCACCCCGGCTTTATCTACTGAACGCTGCATCTACATATTTTGGCCATCCAATCGAGTTGTTTGTAAGCACACAATGTCCACCCACACCTTATCTCTCTCTGTCTTTCTATCTGACTTCTTCCACATATGTGATTTAAACAGAATTTAAACCTTAAACTTTAAAATAAGTTTAAATTACATTTTCTTCTCTAACAGAGAAAAATCGTGTTT